TTGGTTTTGGCTGGGTCGGGCCTAATATTTTTTAAAAAATATCGGGTCAAGCCTTGGAAATTTTTTTTAATATAATAAAATGATCAATTTTATGTTGAATTTTTATGCCAAAAACAAATATTTGATTTTATTTAGAGAAACTAGACACCATTTAACATTTATCTTTTATTTTGAGTAATTATAAAAATGAATTTATATATTTAAATTAATACGGGTCGGATCGGTAAGTTTTTTTAAAAAAATTTAGGTTCGAGTTTCTTTTGAAAAATTAGCCCCGATGCAGATCACTAATTTTGATAATTTTATTTTTTAAAAAAAAAAGATGAAAAGAAAGAAATGTTTGATTAATGTTGTTAATAAAAAAAGAAATGATAAATGTAATTATAAGAAAAATTATGTGATAAAATTAAAAGTATCCAAACCCAGATATGAAGGTTAGATATTAAACATGTGATAAAGACGGATTGAAAGTCAAGAATGAGTCATAAATAGTTCTAAAAAGAAGAATAATAAAGTTTAATATATACATATATACAATGGTAAATTAATAAAAATATTTTTGATTTTATATTATATAAATGTGGATTTATATACGTAAAGAATAGTAATAGGAAGCCACTAGGTAATATTAGAATATTTTTGATTTTAAAAATTTTGGAGGTTATATAAAGGAAGAAAATTGGCCATTTGATATTATTTTAGACCCATGGAAAAGGGAAGAAAGGAATTCATCATATAATAAATGGTCTCATATGAATATTGGAATCAGAAATTCTGTGTTTAATATCTGAAGTTTCGGATTATGATTTATAAGGAAAAAGTGTATCTGGGATAATGTTAAAAGTAAGGAATAAAGAATACATTTTTATATATTTAAATAAAACACACATTTAACTGATTTGCTTTATTCTTTCAAATCAACTACAATGATAATGAATGTTACCAAGCCTAGATCATGACTAGCCAATGATGCTATAGATCAATCATGACACATTAACTGTTAAAATTAAGTGATAATCAACAGTACAATATCAATCATGATACACACCGTTTATTTAAATGATAATCAACAGACAGTGACAACTATTAAGTATGGTCAAGAGAAAATATGGAACTTACTTGAACTGAGGAAAGAAAATTTAATGAAAATAAATAATTATGTAGACATTTACTTAGATAATATTTATATATGACTAAGTTGTATTCTTTACCCCAGTTTGATTTTTCAAGAAAAGAGGGGGGGGGGGCGTGTTGTATTTGTCGATTTGTAATTGACAGATAAGGACGTTTTTCCATATATTTTCGAGAAGATATTATATTATTATTAATTGTCTTTGTTTTTTAACTTAATCACATGACATAAAGAAAATAAAGAAATAATGAGTTTATTTAATTAATAATTTATAATGTGGTTAGCCGATCGACATTTCCCAGCCGAGCGATATTTAGTAATAAATGATTTATTATGTGGTTATAGTGATAGTAATGAATGATTTATTATGTGGTTAGCCGAGCGATAAATAAACCCACCGTATTAAACCCAAATTAATACCATATTAATATTATAAAATTAAAAAGCATAATATTTCCCATAGTGTAATCTCGTTGTTATGGGTCCCCTCTGTCCATCTCTGTTCCATGGCTTTAAAATACTTTACACTAACATGGTATTTCGGGACTGTATTTTTTTTTAGAAATTGGGAAGTGCAATATATTTTTATTTCTCGATAATTATAACTATACCTTATAAAGGTACCTTGTAATCTTATTTTTTTAATTAGCCATATTTTTGAATTTCAATTTTTGTAAAAGGAAATTTTTCCCAACAAGCCCTTATAGCAGGATTAGACAAATCACCCAATGGAGCTTCCTAAACCATTCGTTTACTTAGTTTACAATGAATTTAAAAGTGTATATTTAATTATTAACAATGATTATATCAAAATAATTTTATTTTTTTATTGTTTAATATACAAATTATATATAAAAATTGAAACGTATTTTGATACATATTTTGGAAATATAAAAAATTTATTATAGTTTGAATATGTTACAAGTAACCACCCTTGGCAATACTTTGCATTGGTAATAAGAAAATTTAAATTTATTTTATAATACAATTATGCCATAAAAATTAAATGTATACTGTGTCTCAATTGAACTGATACCCTTTTTTTTTGATAAATCTGTCTATTCTAAAAATAATTCAATAAAATTTTATAGATTGAGAGGGATGAAATTGTTACAGATTAGTAACAAATTGTGCTTACTTAATCAATTTACATATTATTTTATTATATTACTTTTTCTTGTTTTGTATTTTACCGAATCAATTTATATTACTTTTATACAAAATGTTTTACTTGAGGCTGTAAATTAGATATAAATTTATTTATAAATATCGCGAAAAGATGAAAAAGTTTTAGTTTTTATATAATAATAAAAGACATATATTATATAATTCATTCAGAATCATTTATCTTTTTAACTACTGCATTCAGAGTCAATATTTTACACAGACTAATACCTATTCTAGAGGCTTATTTTCCCCAAACGACAATCGACTTATTATTAGAAATAAAATCTGGAGTCTCTCTTTAAAGCAGATCCACAGTTTCTCTGGGTCAGTAAGCTGGAGCACTGTCCTAAACGACATTTTTTAAATGGCAAGTAATAAGTGCTCACCGAGTAAATCGTCAAGATAGTAACCATTGATTTTGACCTCTGGATCGATAAAGATGAACTCTGTCATGTCAAGATTTGATATGCCGATTGAAAATATGACGGATTTAGGAAACAATCAATTGGCTCTAATTTGTTTTTTTCGCAGATTTATTGAATTACTATCAACAGCTAATCATCCATGAAATGAACTAATCTCTGATTTTATTTTCACACAAGTTGTTTGGTATGTACCAGTCGGACAATCGTATTCGCATAGGTTTAGGTCGGTCTTGTTCTAATTTATTTTTTTTAAATATTTTAACTGCAACTCTTAATTTTCTCGGAATACTTGACGAATTGTTCTGTGGATGCCAGGTGGGTCTTCATGGCTCAATATGAACAATTCAACAAAATCTACATTTCTCATAGTGCTAGTTGTGTGCGGTCTACCGCCAGCATACCATTCTGCTGATCTGGTCGCATCAATTTTTAAAATTCAAGGCGATATACCAGATAAGGAAATTGCTTATAAAGCTCCCTAAGGATTTTCATGTATTAAAATTTTAAACAAATGGAAGTCATCATTACTGAAACCATTTTATTTTATTATGTCTGCTTAAGTGTAAAGCTTAATAAATAAATATAATTAATATGTAGAAAGGAAGAGAAGAATTTCTTTCTGATCATTTATTAATATTCGATTTCATATATATATTTAATCAATATTTTTTTGACAAATTAAATTTTAACAAAATTTAATATAAATTCTTATATTATAACAAAAATATGATAAGCGCGCTTAATGGTTAATGATGCTTACTGCCTTAGGGAGTAATGAGCTAATCGATATTTTACAATTTTTGCTTTGATAGTGCTGATATATTTTTTACAATAAGATCCTTATTTTTTTTAATACATATTAACAGAATCTTATATCATCATCCAATGGACAAGTTGGCTTCAAAGAAAACCTGATCCTTTCATTACCAATTTTATGTGTTAAATTTAATTTGTAGGATGAATAACACTCTGGTAGTAAATATAAATTATATTTTTTAAAATAAAAGTAGAAAGATAATGTACAGGCTGAATGTAAAACCCGTTTATACAAAAAAATAATAAAGGGTTCAACACAAATTTTGTTAAACATATTAAAGTATATTAATTATGTGGTTAAAAGGGACATAGGTTATCTTAAAAATTCAAGTTTACAATAGCTGCCCAAGGTGGTATGGGCGCAAGATTTTGAGAAAATATTTAGAAGTTATGGATTGAGTTAAATGATAAAAAAAATACATACTATTGAACAAGGAGAAAAGTTCAATTTAGAATAATTTAAATATATCGTCTTTATTGAATATTTAATCTAGAATGGTTGTTATAGAAAATTGGTATTTTATTTATATAATTTAAAAAGAAAGAAATATACAAGTTATTATCATATATAAGAAAAACAAGTAATTGGTAAAATAAAAAAATATATATTAATATATATTTTTTGTTGCCTTAAGATATATGACTGAACTTTTAAATATAAATTATTTAAGTATATAATAGTTTAACTGACATTTTAAATATAAATTATTTTAGTCAGTAATAAAATAATAGCGTACAATAGCGCACATGCGCACATGCAACATGCACTCCCTCCAAACAAAATATAAAAAAATGAATATTGAAATAAAAAGTGAAAGAAACTACAATTTATAGGGAATAAACGCTCGCTTGGCATGCGGGATGTAATTTATATTTATTTTTAAGAATGAAAATATATGTATAAAGGGGAATTGACACCATAGTTGTACATGATAGTTTTTTATGTATTTACCCTTAAAAAAATAATTTACACTATCGATAGGTACAATTAACACTATAGGTGGCCAATAAACAATAAATATATTTGGAATAAAATTAATATAAAAAAAAAATTTGGAGATGATGGTGATAAAAAAAAATATAAGAAAAGCGTATTATCATAGAAAACAATTATAATTAAAGAACCATTATGATCTAAATTAATCATTTTGACCTTAGAAAATTTGAATTTAAAATGACATTACTGATCCTCTCAGTGACAATACCCCCATTGATTGATGCTCACTTTGAAAAAACAAACGGAGTTGCGTAAAGTTAATTCTCAAAATTTAATTCTTTTAAAATTAAGGTAGTAATTCAAATTCATTGTCATTTCTTTTAAATTTAAGGTTATAATCAAGTCATTGTCATTGAACAATCAACCGATTCCTATTCGTAGCGATAACGGATTATAAAAAGTTAAAAAATTAACCCTATCTCCTATTTCTTTAGTATTAACAAATTCATCCTTCGTAAGCTTTTCAAACTCTTTCATGGGCAAGGATGACACCGGAGAACCAGTATCTATCACAAAAATCATAATTATTAACTTGAAGGTCAATCATAATATCATTAATAAAATTAATTTTATTTATTGGCCTTAAATTATAAGGGGTTTGTATCATCTCCGTCTTTTTGAAATTGTTGTAATTGCTGTTGTTGTTGTTGTTGCTGCTGCCGTTGTTGTTGTTGCTGCTGCCGTTGTTGTTGGCCTTAAAAGTCTGCTTGTTCTCTTTCCAAGACGAAAAGCCTTGCCAATAGGTTCTATCCTCTCTTCTCCAAGAATCTTTCTCTACATCTGTTTTATTATTATTGATCTCCAACGATTCAAATTTGACAACAATGTCCTCTATAATATTAATCTCTGTAGTATTTTCTTCAATCAACCTTGTTTTTAGCTTTTCATTATGACAATTCAACATAAAATGCACCGACAAAAATTCAGGATTGAGCCCCGAACCATACCCTTTCAGTCTATCGAAATACTCTCTGGAAGACTCAAGTCTGTCCGGTTTTGTATTGAACAACTCCAAAATACTCGTGATCTTTACATCATTCCTATCCTCCACCATATTGAACAAGGAGAAAAGTTCAATTTAGAATAATTTAAATATATCGTCTTTATTGAATATTTAATCTAGAATGGTTGTTATAGTAAATTGGTATTTTATTTATATAATTTAAAAAGAAAGAAATATACAAGTTATTATCATATATAAGAAAAACAAGTAATTGGTAAAATAAAAATATATATATATTTATATATATATTTTGTTGCCTTAAGATATATGACCAGGGTTGCCATGTCTCCCCCCATCAGTGGGAGTCTCCCACAATTTTTTAGTTTACCCACATACATCTCACTCCCACAAAACTCCCACAAAACTCCCACAATTAGAAATCTCCCACAAAAAGCTCCCACAATTTTTTAATTTCTCCCACAATATTTTTTTAGCATTTTAATGTTTTTAATATATAAATAATAATTTTGAGAGACAGTATTTGATTATTTTTATATTTTTAAAATAAATTTTAAATATTTATTCGAAAAATATGTCTAGTTCTTTTATTTTATTTTCCCGCTCTAAAATATATTTTTTATAAAATTCTCCAATTCTCCACTCGACATTTTCAAAATTTTTGTGTTAGATAGAATAGAAGTTAGAACAGTATGTATAATTATTATAAATATATTTTAAATTACTTAATATATTTTATATCGTTATCTAGAATTGCAGTGCTCCACTCGACATTTTCAAAATTTTTGTGTTAGAAGAATAGAACTTTTAGAAGTGGATATTATTCTAATCTCTAATTCTTTTAAATAAAGTTAGTGGATGATTAATATTGATTAAATAATATTTTTCACTACTTACTTTTATACTATTCCATAAAGTATATTTCAAGCAAAAGATTAAAAATATAATTGATATATTATTCAACAATAGCTAAAAATCAAAGTGTATTTACCGAATTGAGGCAGCACAATAATGAATTAATACCAATTGGCTGTATATTCCATATACTGCATAAAGGCAATGAATGTACTATCTGTAGATGTCGAAGTAATTGTGATGAAATGTTTTAACGAATTTAGTTCATCAACTAAAAGAGTCACTGAATTAAAAGAATTGGTGGAGTGGTCTGATTTGGAATGGTGTGAGTTGTTGCGATATGTACCTATCAGGTGGTTATCATTAATACCTGCCATCGAGAGAATTTTAAAATTTTACGAACCCTTAAAGAAATACTTCTTAAATAAAGATTTTAAAAGCTGTCCTAAAATTTTGAAAAATTTTTTCGAGGATGAAATGTCAGAAGCATATTTGGGATTAGTTTCACATGTAGGAAATCTACTTCCTGTAGTTAATATTCATTTGCAATCAGAAGATTCTTTATTGATAAAGATTCACAAAATCATGCTACAGCTCTGTTCATCTCTACAGTTAAAAATAGATAATAAATTTTATGGCTCTATTGCTAAAAATATCATATTAAAATATTCAAATATTACTATAATTAACGTATTTTTAAATGAAGCAAATATTTTTATTAAGACAATTTTGGAATATTTACAATCAAGATTTGATTTTAATAACTCTATTTACAAGTGTATAAATATTATGACCTTGGAACAGAAACCATCATTTGATGGTTTTTGTGATATAATAAATATATTAAAATTACCGATAGACATTGAAGCATTGTTTGAAGAGATTGTAATTTTTTCCATTTTTTATGATTTGCCAGAATACTTAAAGTTAGATGGTCTAAAAGCAGAGGAGAAATGGGTGGAATTTTTTCGTAATAACTATAAATCCCCATGCTTGGAAAAAATTTGCGAGTATGTTTTCTCCTTACCTCATTCTAATGCCTCATCGGAGCGCATTTTTAGCCTGATGAGGACTGCATGGAGAAAGGAGAGAAATCGAATTGCTTTAACAACATTAGAGGCCGAGTTAATGGTTAAACAAAATTATAAAATGTCATGCCAGGAATTTTATAAATATCTTAATAACGACGGTAAACGTTTAGTTCCATTATTTAAATATTAAATAAAATATAATTAACTATAACTACTTGACTTTCTATATTTTATAAAATCTTATTTATACATTTGTATAAAATCAAATAAATTTATTTTTTACATTGTAAAATTTATATTTTGAATATTTTGGCAAATCATAAAATAAAGAAGCATTACAATCTCCTCAAACATGACATCATATTAAATCTTATTAATAATTATCCGATAATAGTAATAATATTCTTACTTTGGTATTTATGCAGCATAATTTAGTGAACCTTTATTAAATTATATTCTTCTGATTGCAACTGCATATTAACAGCATATAGTAGATTTCCTATATGTAAAATTTCTAAATATACTTCTGCCATTTATTTTTGAAAATTTTTTTCAAAATATTAGGACAGCTTTTATAATCTATTTATTTTTTAAAGGTTTGTAAAATTTTAAAATTCTACGATGGCGCGTATTAGGAGGAACCTGTCAACCAACATTATGCTGACTCAATTCTGTAAATACACTCTGGTTTTTGCCAAATTCACTGAGGAATTATAATATCAGAAAGCTGCCATGCAATTCATTGGTAATGCCAAATCTGCCATATTTACCATTATATATGGTTAGCTATGTCTTTGGATATTTCATATCTGGAGAAAATTTTTTAAATAGTTTTATTGAAATGACATTAATTTTGTTGAAATAGGGGAGGATCAAGGGAAATGTTTTGATATCTCCTTATTAGATGCATCTGTTAGAATTGCACATCTTTCAAATCGTCAAGAATTGACCTTCTGGATTTATATCCTAAAACAATGATGATAGCCTTGCTCATTTGTGTTCTACAAAGTATACTTTTCATTTATATTAGTCGTTAAATATTACGGGGAAAGATTCTACCAACATTGTGATGTTAAGTAGCTCTCTGAATGTTGTACTGCATGATAGGTATTTACCATTTCCACAACTGTAGTTGCATCTGTATTATTTCTTATTTTTGAAAAATATTTTTGTTTTGCAATAGATGTTGATAGACTGCCCTGTACTGATTTATGCTTTGAAGATTTTTGATGCCTCAAAATATCATATTCCCTTCCCTCATTGTATAAATAAATAGTATAGAACAACTTCCCCGCACTGATTAGAATGATTTTTTACATTGTAAATTTAAAATTGTTGGTTTTTTTTTTATAAAATCTTATTTTTACATTAGCATAAAATATATTTTTTTACATTGTAAAATTACAATTTTTTTATAAAATTTTATCTTGTTTACATTCTTTTGTATTTAAAAAAGATCGTTGGTTATTATTTTTAAACAAAATTAATATATTATAATAAATCAATATGTTATTTTAATAATAAAGATAGTATTTAAGAAATTTTGTGTCGTACTATAATTACCTATTTTGAAAAAGAGTTTCGTATTTTATTTTGGAAAATTGTTACCTATTTTATTTTGAAAAAGAGTTGGATATTGTATTTTGAAAAATAGTTGGCTATTTTATTTTGAAAAATAGTTGGCTATTTTATTTTGAAAAATAGTTGGCTATTTTATTTTGAAAAATATTTGGCTATTTTATTTTAAATAGTTGGCTATTTTATTTTGAAAAATAGTTATTTTGAAAAATAATTACCTATTTTATTTTGGAAAATAGATTAGATTTTATATTTATAAAAAATAATAAGCGGATCCCGCAATAATTTTTTTTTTAGCAATTTTCATATTTCTCCCACAATTTTTATATTACTCCCACAAAATACCGAATTTCTCCCACAATTTGAAAATTTTGACCTGGTAGCCCTGTATATGACTGAACTTTTAAATATAAATTATTTAAGTATATAATAGTTTAACTGACATTTTAAATATAAATTATTTTAGTCAGTAATAAAATAATAGCGTACAATAGCGCACATGCAACACATACAAAATATATAATTAAAAGAAGCTCTAAATGTAGCACCAGAGTATTTAATCAAGCTCGAACAATAACACCAATAGATTTAACATCCAATAAAGAAAATGATTATTTTTCTTTTAAACAAATGTTGCTGAGTTTAATAATACAAATATTGAACTGGAGGTTTTAAATTATATTAAAGAAAGTCGAAATACATTAAAAATGCTTAATTATTATCCTTCCATTAAGGTAATGTTTTTAAAACATAATACCTTTCACCAATTGAAAGGTTATTTACCGTCACAAAGTTAATGATAAATTATTTAAAAATTTTGATCATCTTATAAAAAAAATGAATCTCTTTTAAATACTCTTTTGCAATCTAATATTTCAACTCCTATTAAAAATACTAGTCAATCACCCTATCTATGCCAAGAATGGGCTAATACTAATATTAAAATGCCTGATTATTATACTTAATTCATCATTAAAAAATATTTTATTAACTATTGTTAATATTCACTCTTATTATATGCATATTATGATCTTCACAAATAAATAAAAACTGTATATAAATTATTCTAATTTAGTTAGGAATGATAATTTAAAAGGTATGTTGTATTTAAGCAAATTTAGCAAAAGACACAATTGTTTTATCTTGATTTGAAAATGATACTAGTATTTCAATCTAAGATTTATTTTTTTATAAAGAACCTTTTTCTGGAGGACCTGTCTAAGTCTTATTGTCAACCTCTTAAGAATAAAACACTTTCTAAAAATGAATTTCAAATGTCTATGAACAAGACATCTCATACAACTATGCCAATATCATAATTTATCCATGGTTAATATCTAGTGTACCAACCCCACATCAGACCTTCTCTAATATGAATAGATTTAAAAAATATATAAATATAATACATATGCAAAAATATATTCTTTTTTAAGTATTAGAAGATATATATTATAATATAAAATTTATTAATCTAGCTATATATTTTTTTGTATAATAAACTTTTGCTCTATTTATTGCTAGCTAGACATAGTTTTTACTTTTTAGCAAAATATAAACCTTATATTTTAGAAAAATATAGCTATAATTTGAATATACTGCATAAGTTGGCAAATTTTATTTGGAACCCTTATAGATTAACCCATAGCGATTTTTATATATTATCAAACAAATTGTTAATAGCATTTAGTTGACAATTCAAGGAAAAGATTATATCACTAATGTAAAAAAAAGTACATACAAAAAATAAGTTGAGGAATTAAAGACTTTTTTATTTAATATTTTTATAAAACAATTGATTTAGACATAAATAATATATTTTATATATAAAAAAATTGCTAATTTATTTTCTAGATATTAGTATAAGACAATTAAACTAAACTTGTCATGCTAAAAATTAGTATAAGGACAATAATAATTATCACAATATTTATATAATAAACTATATTTCTTTATTAAAAATGCATTTAAAGCTGTCCACAATTGCCAATAGCAATGTTTTTAGAAGTTTTGCCACTCTGAGATCCAAAATTCTCAATCTTTTTAATTACATCATAACCTTCAACTACTGATCCAAACACTACATGCTTATTATCAAGCCTGAAATTATAAAATAAGTATATATTAATTATGATACAAAATTACCATTCTGTTTTGGCTGTGCATATAAAAAATTGTGATCCATTTGTATTAGGACCAGAATTTGCCATTGATAAAATTCCTAATCATTAAATTTATTTCAATAAATTTTAAAAAATATTACCAGGTCCTGTGTGTTTTAAGGTAAAATTTTCATCTTCAAATTTGGTTCCATAAATTGATTTGCCACCTGTGCCATTGTGATTAGTAAAATCTCCTCCTTGGCACATAAAGTTTGGTATAATTCGATGAAAGGTGCACCCTTTAAATCCAAAACCCTTTTCACCAGTGCATAGAGCTCTAAAGTTTTCGGCAGTTTTGGGAACAACATCTGCTTTGAGCTAAAATAAATGTTAAAAAATTTACTATCAAACATCATAAAATTTGATTTATAAGGTTAGCGAAAATATTTATTAATATTGCAACATCTTGACACCTAATAATTATATTGTTTAAAAACGATTAGGCTCTACTGATATGCGTTCAGGATTATATAAGAATTTAAAATTTTTATGAATTGTTACTTCCATGGTGACTCGTCCAACTGGTTCATTATCAGCAGTAATATCAAAAAATACTTTAGGATTAGGTGCCATTTTTAACTTAGAATAAAGTCTAATAAATCTTGCAGAAACCGTTTTAAAATGATTTAATGAAGGAGGAAATGTGATTTAGGGCACGTGTTTAAATTTATTTTTAAATCGAAATTTTATTAAAATTTTAATTATTTGGCATAAATTTAGTAATTTTTTTAACATTCATTAATCTACACTTCTATAATTAAGTTATATCTTTCTGATAATTTAATAAATCAATATTATCAATATTCCTATAACATTATTAATATGATAGTATGGAGGTGAAATTATCTTAATAAATATTATTTGACACATATAAATAATGCAAATAAAATGCATTTTTATTGTTAAATAATAAAATTCATAAGTCTTACTACCTCAAAAGCAATTTTGTAACATAAGGCTTTAATTTTGCGGTGCAAAAAAGCCTTCAAGGTTATAAAAAATTAAAGGGCTTTAAAAATAAAATTGATAGTTTCTATTAGATTAAGTATAAACTTTATATTATATTGTTAAGTTAAAGAGAATAGGTTCTTTGAACTATTAATTATATATAATCAGCGTTATTAGCTACATTTCTTCTCTGTAATTTGCCAAATCGAACTTGACTATTTACTTTCGAACATTGTTTTACTGATAACTATTTCTCCCTGGTAATATAGAAGTTGAAGTTGAGCTCCCTTTTCCTAAATGTAAATATACTTTATTAATATTTTTAATTCCTTAAATTCATAATCATTTGTAGTTAATTTATTCTTAAACATTATAATATAAAATTTATAAATAATAAAAATATAATTAATTAAAAGGCTCAAAATAAAATTTAAAAATGTTGAAAAAATGAATAAATAAATTAATTAGAAACAATTAATTAAAAAACAAAGTATAACATCAGGCACATCATTTGGAGAACTCAATTAAAACAAATTTGTAGATTGTTAAAAATTATTCCAATTACCCTCTGATTGTTGGCTATTTAGGAATTTATAGTATGTAATGGTAGCAAATAAGAAATAGAGATAAGCAAAAAATTGTATATATATAGACATAAAAACATCTGATTTATAGTTCTATTTATGAATATCCAATATATAATGGCTTTCATGAAATATTTGAATGTCCAGCTTGAATGCATGAAATAGTAGTCTACCCATCAAATAAGTCAATCTAGTTTGCCGTTATTAAATAGATTTGGATATTACAGATAATTTAATAGATCCATATTGTTATATTTAAATAATCATACCATCCATATCATCCAAAATCTTAATTTCTTCAATTTTTTTAGAAAATATAATACTAAATAATTTTAGAAGGTAATTACGCCAGGCCCTAAAGGGAGAGGATGCCAGAAAAATAATTTAATGATATACCCCCTTTTAAAATTCGTGAGGGGAGTTATTACCATATATCAGCCCGGAATTTGGCAGGGGAGAGTGTAGCATAGAAATCAGAAATGGCACGGAATCAGAGATACTATGAATCACAAATACGGTGAGTAACCAAAAGCTATGATTCATAAAGCGTGAAATATTAAAGTTTTATAAAAAAAAAAATACAATATAGGTATGGGATTGAGTAGGTAAATTTTTTAAAAAAATGAGTCACTTTAATATAAATGAGTCTATTATCAATTGCCTATTTATTGAGAAGGACCATTAAAAAATAAATTTATATAAATATTTATTAATGCTATATAAAATAATTAGTATATTGCGAAAAAGATATTTTTGGGGAACCAATTCTCAAGTTGTTTATAGAAGATAGGAAAATTTAGATTGGCTATATTATATTATTTAAATAATAAGTATAGCATACGTCATATGATCCTTTTGTGATTTTTGCAAAACAAAATGAGGGGAATATGAGGGGATACCAATGTGGGTAACCTTTAAAAAAAGTTAGGACCCTTAGATATGTAATTTTAATTAATTCATAAATTTCACACTATTTATTCTCCTTTCGATCCGATTTGAATAATAAAAATAGTAAATCATTAATTTTACAATATAATCAACACGAATTAAATATAATATTATTCGGAGAGACCAATTTGCAAACATCAAAAAAATAGGTCCTTTGTGAATAGATATGGGATAATAAATAAATAATAGAAATTCGTACTATGTATTGTTTTATGGAATAAATGAAAAATCCTATTTAAACAATAGAAATAGAAAACCTTTCATCATCTTTTTTATTTTTATTGATATACTAAGTGATTAGCAGGAATAAATTCTAAAGAATATATAATTTAAATTAAAAAAAAATATTATATTTGACATACATTTTTGGGATATATAAAATCCTATATAATATTATTTAAATAATAAAAATTGTGTACTGTGTATAATTTTTAATTATGCAAAATAATCAGCAGGGATAATAAAGAATTATGCGCCGATAAAATGACAAGCTATAAAAATAGCAGGATCCTTAAGAATAATCATTAAAAGTGGTTAAGATATGTGTTTTCTTAAATAAAAACAATAGGAAAAATTTAATATAATACATTGAACCTGCAGAGTAGGTTCAACTTTCTAGAAATAGTGGGAATATCATCAGCAGCTAAAATAGATGTATTCTAAAATGTAAGGAAGTATAAGAAGAACATCCATTTTCAATATATATATAGATGACTACTTTATATTGAATGGTTGGTCAATTATTTTGGGTTATGTGATCTTTTGAACATTTATTTTGTTTATTAATCTGCAACTTTTGTTTGCCAATGACAGATATTAAAATTTGTACAATCATCAAGATTAAGACAAGATATTTTCAAAAATGAAAACAAAACAAAAATTTTAAAAATAATAATGTATGAACCTGCAGAGGAATCAATATTAGGTTAAATTCTCTAAATCAGCATCTGTATAATCTTTAAAAGAGAGGCTAAGACATGACCTGGTTATCAAAGATAAAAATAAAAGGAAAATTTAAAAAACAATAATAATAAAACCCCCAGTGAAGTCACCATTAGGTGTGTCTTTATCTAAATACATATATATAATTCTTAGATAAATATAATATACATTAAATCTGTTCATTATAATTAATTAATGTGTGATCATTAAGTACTAATTTTTCTTAAATATTATATTTTACTTCAAATCTCAACATTGTAATTAAAATTTTATGTAACCCTTTAAATTAAATTTACTTGAATAATGTTGAGTTGAATTTAGAATTGAATGATTTGAAGAAAAACTGTGCACACTTTATTATAGATAATAAGGTAATTTCTCATAGCGAAAGTAGAATTGATATAAAGATGATGTGGAAAATTTATATTAAAATTAAAATGCATGAATATTAATTAAAAAGGAATATTGAATATGGAATATAATATTGAAAAAATATTTTATAACTGAAATTCAATTATAATATCTATTTTTTTAGTAAATAAATAAATATCAATGATATATATTTCTTAATATTTAGAAATGGAGGAGCTGGGTGGGATATAATTTTATATATATTATCAAAATATGATAAACATTTAATTGCTTTTTATAGTGAATATAAATAATTTATTTATTTATATTATATGTATTTTAAAGATAATGCCATAAATTAATTACTACTGATATCTATACACAAATTAAAAAATATATAAATATGAATTTAAAATGTTTCTATAAATTTTTAATTTCTTAGACGATTTTGGCCTTATTTATTTTATTTTTTTTAAAAAATTATTCGCCTACTGTTAAATATGGATTTATATATATAATTATTTTATTTATACTAGTTGTTGTGTAACATAAATTGTTATTTGAACCATTCCTTAACATATTAAATATTTAACACAACCATTATATTCACATTTATTCTGAATTTATTCTTGGATTGATCGTTCGGTTTCATCCGGTGCAAAAATTTTGAAGTAATAGTACTGTATTGTATGGGTTGAATCATTAATAAAAAATATTACTATATCATACATATCAATAAATTTTTTATTTAATTACATCTTTATTTTACAGATTCTATGAACATTAAATCTCAAAATTGATAGTAATCTTTATGACTTACACAGAATTTAAACCTAAAATCAGCTATCACCCACTCTTAAAGTAATTAAATTTTACTGTAGTTCTCGTATAGGATCTTTTTCTGTCCCACTTCTTTTTAATAAGCCTATAGAGGTTCAAGTAACATTTTTTGAAATGTTGCGCTTACGTGCGGCTTGCCCACAAACGTGTAGAGGGCTCCTCATATTTTTACTTCTATACCCGAATTAAATTAGTTATAATTAGATGTAAATAAGGCAAACCTAGCATAGCTCTGTTGATTATTCAACGCTAGAGGGCTAAAGCTCTAACATTTATTCTTTCACGTCACACAATATTAATAATTTGATTCACTAAATTGAATTCGAAAAAGTATTTATAAAGATAATTTTTAGTTAGATAGTTGCAATCAATAAATAATAAAATTAGAAAATTTCCTTTGTGTTTCTCTTAAATGTTGATGATGGACGAAATTATTTACAAAGAAAATTTCCTGGCTTACTTCATGGCCTACTTTATGGTGGCAGTTCCGCTACCAGTGGCGTAGCTACGGGGGTGATTTTCGGGTTTGGACCCCTCCCAGAGCAAAAATTTATTTTTAGATTATACGTTCAAAAGACTTACAAGTGGTGACTTTATATCAAATAAATACCAATAATATTTTTATTTTTCTGGTTTTGATGTTTGTGAAAGGATATTATATTACTATTGAAATTATTGTAGATAGTATTATTATAAAGTCATTGAGAATAATCTACTAAATTATAAAACAAATAATTGATGCATTTAAAAAAATATATTTATTATTAATTATATAAGATATGGTTATGATTTGTAAGATAAACCCGGCCGAAGGCCGGGCAAAAGGGCCGAAGGCCCGTTAAAGGCGCCCCCAGGCTTTTATATGTATGGACCCCCTCTAAGGAAAATTCCTAGCTACGCCACTGTCCGCTACATATTCGAGGATTTTGGAACGTCATGTTTATTTCATTCTAAAACATGTAAGAAATGATTAAAATGAAAAAGTAAAATAATTAAAATTTATAATAATAAAATTTCTAAAATATGAATAAACAATTATGGGACT